TTGGTCTACAGGTCTGCTTCCGTTGCCCTTTATTAGTCCCGCCCATTGGGTCTTTTCCAGGGCCTGACTCCTGGAGGACAGGCCGGGTATCTGATGACACTGGGCTGGGTAGGGGTGCCAGCGCCCTCTCTGAGGCTCTGGGAAGTCTTGCTGTGGGGATCTGCCATGACCGGGACAGTTAAGCAGGAGGAAAGGGAGACCCTGCTTCTTGCTGGATCCTGTACAGACTTAGGGCATCAGCTGCACGGGAGCTTCCTCACCCCGCTCACCCCACACTTTGCCGCAGGGAAGACCAGGAGAGGGGAGGGCTTTCCCACCAACGGCAGCTGTCTTTCGAAGCCTTGCGCCCCAAGCAAGGCCCCCATAGTTTTGTGTGGCAAATGTGGGGGCATCGTGCTAGAAATACAGATTTATTTTTCTGTATTTTCCGAAACATAATCTCGAGACATGCTCATTTGGTTTTAGTCCCCAGAGCTATTTGGGAGAGGAGGGTAGGCGGGGCGTGGGTGGGGCGTTAAATCTGGTGTTTGCGGCTGTGCAGTTGGCGTTCGTGTCTCTGTGGAGTGACTGAACCGCACAGGGACCAGTGGGCACGTGGTTCCCCGAACCTCAGCTGGCCCGCAGTGGAGCAAGCACCCATCACCCAGAGCCCAGAGCCCCAAACCCGGGGCAGCTGTGTGAGAGGCTGTGCTCGGTTGTCGAGAAATCACAGGCTCAGAGCACGGGGTCGGCTGATGCTACTGGTAGCTTGTGCCACGCCGGGGGCTGGGGCTGGGGAAGTGGCAACAAGGGGGACTCGCCCTCTAGGAGGAGAGACAGCAGGGGGACAGAGCGGCCTGGGCACGTGGGCCGCCCCTGGCTGCCCCAGGAGGAAGGAAGCTCTCAGAATGGGCCCCTCCCACCTCGTTTCTCTGCGCCCTGTGGCCCTTGTGTAGTTGTTCATTTTGGAGACTCGCTTTGCTGCTTGAGAGGCTTAGATCTGCCTTGGATGGTTGGGCAGCTCCCAGGAGAAGTGAGGGGACATTAAGAGGGAGTGGAGCTCACTTACTCCAACTGAAGTAACCAAGAGCTCAGCCTGACCCCCTGTCCCCTGCCGGCAGCCCAGAGTTCAGGGCTGGGAACAGGTGTCCTTGGCCAAGGTCAGGAGCAGCCTAGGTGGTCGCTCCTTGTCTGCGGGGCCGCACAAAGGGACATAAGCACCAGCCCACAACAGGTCTAGCGAGTGAGTGCCAAGCCTCCCTCGCGGGGATTTGTGGAAGAATCGTCCTGGTGGACTGGGTTGCGGTGTCTTTGCCTGAGCATGGGCGTCAGAGTCCAGAACACCCATGCCAGAGGCCTCCTTGGTCTCCGTGTATCTGTCTGATGGCCGCTCTTCTTTTACCTCTGACGTGGGGCAGGTGGTGTGATGTTGCTTTTTGTTCGCTGGCAGCCAGTGAAAAACATATCAAAACCCTTGCATGGTGGGGGTGGGGGTACCTGGCTGGGCCTTTGCCCCTGTAGCTGTTGTGGCCACAGCGATCAAAGTTCAGGTGTGCAGGGACTCAGGGAGTCAGGCTGGAGGGGGTGAGGCCAGCGGAGAGGTCTGGACAAACTGCAGGCGCTGTGGAGTGAGAGTCGTCAGGAGCTGTGGGATCTAAAGACCATGGCATCCTTTGTTTTGCCTTTTTTTCCCCCCCTCCATTGACACCTTGCTGTTTGAGAGTGAAGGAACCAGCCAGTATGGGTCCCTTGGGTCTGGAGGTTGGCAAGGCAGAGGCGGTGTGTGGTGAAATGACTGGGTGTGAGTCCAGCTGAGCTCGAGGGCCACGTGCAGCTGGGTCAGGGGGGAGAGAGAGGTGGGGGACCGTGCTCACCATGATCATCTCACAAAAGGCTCCAACTGGCCAGATCCAGAGAGGGAGGGGGGAAGGATCTGGTTGAGGCTAGGCAGCGTCCCTGCCAGTGGACCTGGCCTGGAGCCAGATGGGGACCAGGGCCTCAGGCAGGTGGGCACCCCTGGCGATCAGGGGCAGGTCAGACCCACGCTGCCGAGGGCCCAGCTGAGAGCTGCTGCTCGGAGTCCCGCTCGGGAGGCGCTGCAGAGGCCCCGGGCCTTGCCTGTGGGAAGAAACAGCTTGGCCACATGCCTGGCCCTAGCCGGTGAACGAATGCATCAAGAGTGACTAATTGACTGAAAGGAATCAGCCACTGTGAAGGCGGGACAGTCTCAGAGAACACTCCTGATCACAACTGGTCCCTGCCGGTGATAAAGGAGACTCCCCCAGCCCGCAGGGTTTGGAAACTAGAACTCACTTCTAAATAACTGCTGGGCTAAAGAGAAAATCCCAGTGGAAATGAAACATTTGGAGATGAAGGACAGTGAAAATACTGCATATGGGAAACTTTGGAGATCCAAGCTCTAAGATGGCAGTCAGAGGCAAATTTGTAGCCTTAAATGAATTTATTTAAAACCAAGAAAGATCAAAAATAACCAAATTCAGAGCTCAATGTAGGAGGCTGCAGAAAGAACACGGAAAGAGGCCTTCTTGAGCTCACAGTTTTGTGGAGCGGCGAGCAGTTCAGTGGGGCCAGGGTGCTGATGGGAAGGGCAGAGGAGAGGGCCTGGTGAGGTCTCTGGGGGTCTGGGTGGTCTGGGGCCCCGAAGGCCCACCAAGGGTTGGGTTGAAGATTGTCAGCAGTGAAGAACTGAGTCTGCATTGCAGTCCATGATGACTTTGGCCCACAGCAGAGCCCAGGGCCAGCCATTCTCTGGGCTGTGCTTTGAGTGCCCTGGACTGCTTCTGTGGGCCCCAGGGTGGATGGGTAGGAGCCTTCATGGAAACCACTCTTTCCAGGAACACCGAGGTACCTGGTCCAGGAGCCATGCAGTCCTCTTGGTAAACGGGCACTGTTGGGGAGGACTGTAGACCTCAACGCTCAAGAGCTCCTCTGAGCGCCCTTGTCGCTCACGCCCTCCCTGGAGTTTTCTGGGACTTGGACGCTGGGGAAGGCTCTAGTTCTTCTTGCCTGGAGGGCTCCTAGCACCTGCTTTCTGGTCCTGATCCCCCTGCCAAACTGGGCTGCTGGCCACATTCTTCAGTGGTCCTGCTGCTGCTTGGCCTCTAACATCTTGTCCCCAGCTTGGCATCTGGTGTTGAGTGTCAACAAGAAAGGAGAGTGACCCACGAATATTTGTTTGGTTCCTTAGTTGCTGTGACTTCTTGGAAACCTGCCATTCCTCAATGAGCTCTGGGCAGCCAGAGAGCCTGGCTTTTTTGACACTCCACATACTGTGTTCCTTCCCTTTTCTGTCTTCCCTCTTTGTTTTTCCTCAAAATGAGAACAGTTTTGTTTTGTTTTTGTATTAATGTAACGGTGCTCTATACTCGTTAAAAAATTCAAAGTATGGGAAATTACAGAGATTTCTAAGACTCAAGTAAGTCACCTGAAATTGCCTCCCCCCACTTAAGTCCTGTCAGTGCGTGGTGACTGTCCGCCTGGGAGGGTATCTGCGTGACAGACGACCTGCTCCCATCCTACCCCCAGGCCCTGCGCCTGCAGCCCGTGATGCTGCGCTCCTGGTATCGCACACTCACCTATGCAAGTGGACATTGTTCCCCATCAGTGAGAATGGATCTCCTTTGTCCTGATGGATGGCTGCCGAGGACCCCCGGGCTGCTGTGAGCCCAGCCCCTTCGGGCCCCTTGTACTTCTTCATCACCCCCGCTATGGGCAGCTCAGAGAGGAGGAGCCGTGGGTAGATTCCAGAAGCATGGGCAGACGTGCTGCCTCCTGCCCAGTGTGCCTGGGCCCAGGGGGCAGCTCTGTCTAACCTGCCTGTCTCTTCTGGGCAGGCAGAAGCTGGCCTTGCTCCGTGTTGTCGGGCCCCTTTCCAGCCCACAACCTGTCTAGTCTTTTCTGCCGCCGAGTGGAAGTGCTTCCCAGTATTCCTATTGTCCACGGGTCCACCGCTGTGTCAGCCCTGCTGCTAGAGGCCCCTCATATTTGCTGTTGGAGCTCCTGTTGCTCCCTGTCCTGCTCTGGAGGAGCTGAGGTGGCCTTTGATGGAGCACGCGCTGTCATCATCTAGGCGAGAACCTCTTATATCTGGCTTTGCTTGGGGAATGCCAGGTGTTGCCGCATTAACAGTTTGGCCAAAAGGAAGCAATGGTTCCTTTTGGCCAAACTTTTAACGTGGTGGTGTGCCGAGCAGACTCTTGCTCTGAGCGTCTTCCTGCAATGGGTTTCAGGCGTGTGGGGAAGAGCCCCCGCCCTTTACCAGGAGATCATGCCCCCTGCCCCAAGCCTGAACGTGCGCACTGGTGCGGCCAGGTGCAGGCCTGACATCACCCTTCGGACAGTTCAGTGGACCTTCAGCGCATGAGAAGCCAGAGTGGCATGTCTCCTCCCAAGGCCCCAACATGAAGGAAGTGATGTGCCCGTTAGAGGGAAACGTCACTTTGCTCCCCTGCCCAGGCACCTTCGGTAACCCCACCCCATCCTCCTCCTTGCCCTGGTTCTGGCCTTTTGGTTCGCCCGAGCTCCCCAAGTGCCCTGCCTCTGCTCGTTGGCTCCTCCACGGGGCTCCGTGCTTCTCTGGTCAGCTGCAGTGTGGTGTTGGTGGTGGGGGGCATGGTCTGGGTCAGGGGGACCTAGTTCTGGCCCCAGTGCTGGGCCTGGGATAGGTCAGTGCACCTCTCTGACTCCTTGGGAAGTGAGGACAGTGATGTCAGTCTGGTAGGGCTGTCAGCGTGGCCTTTCCTGCTCATTCCTTTCGGCCCAACCCTCGACCTCATGGCCTGGGTTTTGTCAGTGGTGCTTGGGACCAGAGTCTCAGCAGTAGTGCTCATGCTTGGGCACCTGCCAGTTCCTCCGCCAAAGGTTGGGGAGGGCATGGGCTGGATGAGGTGCTCAGCCCTGAGTCCTGCTGCCACTCTCACTCACGAGCTTCTGATTTCTTCCTGTGCATTGAGAATCTAGAGTGACCTTTGGTGTTTGCTCTTTTTGGCTTGTTCTCCTAGGGTCCAGCCACCACTGTTGCCTTTTCAAGAACGGGGGAGTATTTTGCTTCTGGAGGTTCTGATGAACAAGTAAGTAAAGAATGATTTGAGGGGTCTCAGCTGATACTGAGCAGAACAGAACAGGGGGCCGAGGTGTCTTGGGGATGGACAGGCTGGGTTTCACCAGCTTCCTTGGTGGCTTTCAGCAATCTTGAGGCCTGGATCTTGGGGTGGGGCCCCCAGAGCTGGGCCCTGGCCTCCCCAGAGCAGGAGTGCTGCAGGTGCCAACGCGTGGCAGCATCTCAAAACCCTTACAGCTCAAACCAGAGTGGGTAGGAAGTCTGGGTTACTGTTGCCGTGAGAAAGTTAAACGTTTCTTTAGGAACTTCTTTCTCCTGATTATAGGTGAATAATTAGATAACTCTTGGATGCTTACTGCGGGCCTGGTAATGAGGGCAACATGGCAAGAGCGTCACCCCTCATTCAGTCCTCAGGGCAGCCGCGTGGGGCAAGCCTTCTCTTCAGCTGTTCTGTGGGTGAGGAAACCGCGTCTCGGCTGCAGCAGAGCTGGAGCCTGCGCTAGAGCCTGCACTCTGTCGTCTGCCGTCCTTTGCTCCGGTGCTGTCTGAGGGGGCAGCATTTTCCAGCTCCAGGCTGTGGAGCGAGGACATGTGTGAGGAGGTCCTGTCCTGCCTTGTCACCCTGTCAGCCACCCTGGTGCCTCCTGCCCAGACTGCTCAGCCCTGGTTACCTGCCTCCTGCGGGGCACCCTGTCCCTGGGGTCTGGCCCAGAGTCTGGCGTCTGGGAGGCTCCAGGGCCGTTGAAGTGTCCACCCATTGGAAATCTTTCTCCGGGTTCTGGTGCAGTGCTACTTGTCCAGAAAACCACACTTCCCTGAGGCAGGGAGGAAGGGGTGGCTGTTCCGAGCCACTGGTGACCTGGTGTGTCACCTAGAATGTTCATCCCACTGCTCCCGGGCCTCACAGCTCTGACAGCTCTGCCCAGGAAAGTGCTGCTGGCCTCCCAGTGAGCGCCAGCCCCGGCCTGATGGACCGATTCTGGTTGAGTCTCTGCCAGTAAAGCACAGGGCGGTTGGAGGCACAGCACGGCTAAGAGATGGCAGGCGTCTTCCCATACCAGCACCAGTTCCTGTGCTGACCACACAAGGCAGGAGGAGGGCAGAGGGAACCCCTGAGCCTTCCCTGGGCATGGAGGCCTGGCTCCTTGCTCAGAAGACTAGGGAAACTAGTACAGTAAATTCACACCATAAATAAAGTCCTGGCAAAAGAAATTCACATAGCACAAGAGGCAACCTGGTAGGAAGTAGGGCTTCCCCCACCCTGGCCCCTGCTTGGGCAGCCGCTGCTGTCAGCTCCCTGGCTGCCTTCTGATTGTCTGCTCCGAGAGCCTTTTGGGAATGACATTTGACATTCTCTCTTCATATTCCTGATAGCCATTCCCCGGCTCAGGACCATTCAGCAGTTAGACTTGTGCAGTACACAGGACCCTATAAACAAGGGGGTGTGTGCCGATGTTCTTTTTGTAAAGGGGACAGATGAGAGACCCTAGATGCTCATCAGTTGGGGAGCAATGAACAGTGGTGCTGCTCTGGGAGTGGCGAGCAGCCTCCCAAAGAACCAGGCTCGTGGCTGCATCGCGATGGGTCATGCCTCCAGGGCACGTTGAATTTCCATCCTATATGGATTCGTTGGTTTTTCTGTGGCCTCAGTTGACTACTGGCCGCGATTCACAATTCCTGCCATCCTGGAAGTGGCCCTAGAGGAGTGCAGCCGCGGGTGGCCCGCACCCTCCAGCAGGGAGCGCTCTTGCCCAGCTTTTGTTGGAGGAGCCTCAGGGCATGAAGATCCCCCCAGTGGGATGTAGAATAATGGACATGTTACCGACTGCTCCCTGGGGGCCAGTGTCTGTGCCAGACTGTCTCCTGTGAGTTTCATTGCAGCCCTGTGAGGTGGGAACTATGACCATTCCCTTTTCACAGATGAGGAAACTGAGGCACAGAGAGGTTGAGTCCCTTGCCTAGAGCCACACAGTAAGGGGTGGAGCCAGGATCTTCACCCTAGTTATCTGGCCTGGAGTCTGTACCTGAACCACTTGTCACAGTGAAGCCAGCCCGGCCCCCACCCTAAGGAACTTGTATTTTAGTGGGGAGACAGATGGTAGACAAGGAAAAGGGACAAAGATTAACTAAATACCGACTCTGATGCCTTGAAGGAAAGAAATAGAGGGCTATGATGACAACCAGCAGGAGGGCCAGGGAAGGCCTCTCTGAGAAGGTGGTATTAGAGCAGACAGTTCAGCCTGAAGTGCCAGCTACACAGAGCTTGGGCCTGGGACATCCAGGCCCGGGGAGCAGCCAGTGCAGAGGCCCAGTGGTGATAGTGACTCTCCATCCTGGTGGAGCACCCGATCCTCTCGGGGCCTGTTCAGAGATGGGGCAGGTCCCGGAGGGAGTGGGGTGCCAGGTGGGGATCACAATCCCACCACTGGCCCAGAACTTTGGGGGTGGCCTCTGGGCCCATTTTCTCCATGGAGAAGGACTGGTAAGGGATTTTTCTCCCCCTGATTCTGTGTGCTTATTGGTCTTGGCAGGTAATGGTTTGGAAGAGTAACTTTGATGTTGTCAATTACGGAGAAGTCCCAAGAGTGCAGAGGCCCCCGGCCACGCTGGCCAGCTCCTCCAGGACTCTGGTAAGTGGCTTGACAGGCATATCCTGAGCCCTATGACTGGTGGACTGGGTCGTGGTGAATAGCACTGGGCTCGGGGGTGGTAGGGGTGCTGCAGGCTTAGGCCGGTCCCAGGGAAGAGACCCTGGTAAGATCTCATCATTTACCAAAATCTTAAGTGCTTGTGGTGCTTTGTTTCAAATCTGGAATGAACACATAAGACATGAAGAGGCTGTTAGCGCACACTGCTGGGTGCCTAGGCCCTGTACCGTCTGGCAGGGGGCTATTTCCATGCTGTAAGCCGTTGGTTATTTGAGGCCTGAGGAAAGGAAGGACCCATCCTTTGCTGATCCTTGAGCTCGATGTCGGGTTCCTAGAGGGTGTGGGGCCTGAAGCCACAGCTGGGACAAATGGGAAGGGCCCCAGCCCTGTTGTTCTTACTTCCTTTTTTTTTTTTTTTTATTTTAACCATGGAAAGGAAGTTCCTCAGCCACAAACCATTTTTAGTACCTTTGTTGGTAAAAGGGCATTCAGTGTTCCTGAATTAAAATAGTTAATATTTTTTGGACAAATATTTGGGGGAAAAAAGATAACTGATACCATCTCACTGAATAAGGTCACATTCAGCTTTGGCTAAAATAAACGGTGAAGCCAAGGAGGTGGAACTGTGAGGGCTGTAAGCTCCAGTGGCCTCAGGCTGCTTAAATCTCTCCCTCCTGGACCTTAGAGGCAGTGTGGCCTCTCCCACACGCGGAAACTGGCCTGAACAACAGGAAGCGGCTTGCCCAAGGTCCCCAGCAAGTCAAGGTTGGCCCAGAATAGAACCAGGAAGCCTCTGAGTCCATCCCGGGGCTTTCTTTGGCTCCAGCAGAGGGCCCTGCCCTGCCCACACCCCATCCTGTGTGTTGGGGCTCCCTCTAGGAACAGGCCAGGTTGGGATTTAAAGCTTTTCTTCCAAGGGTTGCCCTTGGCCCAGAGGTTTTGTTCTCCCTCCGCATTTGTTAAGCAGTGGCCGGTCCTCAGTGTCTGGGTTCGCTGGGGGTGCGGGGAGGGGGTGGCTGGGGTGCACGGTGGTGTGCTTGCTGCCATTTCATCTCCACCTGGAAAGGCATCTTCCAAACTGTGGCGTTGGGATCCTCTGGGGTCCACGCCCACTCCCCGATAGCTTCCCGTCTCTTGGGTATTTACGGCGAGCCAGGCCCTGCCGAGGCCTTTACGTGTACTGCCCTGTATATTCCTTACCTCATTAGGATGAGTGGGTAAAGTTACTGCTCTCATTCACAGAGGAGACACCTGGGGCTTAGTTGCCTGCCTGGTGCCTGGACCTGGGGAGCCACCATGCTGGTCCCTCTGAGCAGGGCTGAGTAAGCTAGAAACTGCAGGTGGCAGAGGGCTGCCTGGAAGCTCTTTCCCACCCTGGGGGAGGGCCCTGCCACCTGTCTCTTGGGCATGGTTAGTAATCACCAGCAAGGGGAGAATCCCATACTCCTTTTCTTGTAGCTATTGAGAAAGTAACTTGGACCAGCTGCCTCTTGTCCCTTCAGCCCTAGCTCAGAGACGGGGTGTGGGGCACCCTTGCTTCCCATAGCTGTGGGCCTGATCATCTAGGATGAAGGATGTGGGGTGGGGAAAGCCAGCAGGACAGGGCAGGGTAGGGCCTGGGTGCTCGAACCATCAGCCGGGCTCAGGAAAGCCATTTGTTCCCGTATTCCCCTCAGGCCCTCTGCCCAGTGGGCATCACCACGTGGGGCTCAAATTGGGGAAGGGGTGTGGGCTCTGGCTGTGTGGCCCCAGGCAAAGCACCCACTCTTTGCAAGCCTCCGTTTCCACGATGGGACCCGAATACACTCGCAGGCTCTGAGGACCCCATGTGTGATGTAGGTGACCTCTGCTAACCTATGAAGTGACTTGACTTGTTAATGCTGAAATCATTCTCCGTTTGGGACTTTTTCCTCATTTGTCTCAGGCCCCTTTGAGACTCTGACGTGACCTATAGGTCCTCCTCCAGACGCACTATGTCCACACACGCGTACCACTGGTGTACCCTTTCAGGGGCTGCTCTGATCTCAGGACTCCCAGGTCAAGAGGAGAGTTGGGGAGGCTGTTTTGTTTTGTTTTGTTTTATATACGTAACATAAAATTCACCATTTTGCCTATTTTTAAGCATACAATTGAGTGGCATTAAGTACATTCACACTGTTGGGCAACAATCATCACCATCGTACACAGAATTTTTTCGTCTTCCCAAACTGAGAAAAGCTAGTCAGTATAGCACGGCTCAGTGGCTAGGTCTTCCCCTGAGTTGGGAAGACAAGCTGACGAGTATGGTCTCGCCTGTTCTGCACCAGGGCTTCCTGTAACTTTGACCCTGTAACTGGTGACCGATTCTGTGGCCGGCCGGGGTGTCTCAGCTCCTCAGGGAGCCCAGGAGCTGTAAGTTCAGGGAGCCCCCACCCGTCTAGCTCTGTCCACATTACCATCCTTCCAGCAACCCAGGGGTTCTCAGCCTCGGCACGTCGATTCTTTGGGCCAGATGAATCTTGGCCCAAAGAAATCCTGTTCATTGTAGGATGTTTAGGAACATCCCACTAGCTGCCGGTAGCATCCCCCGCCCCCAGTTGTGACAGTCACAAATGTCTTCAGACATTGCCAAATGTCTCCTGGGGAGCAGCATTGCTCCCAGTTGAGAATCACTGCAGTAACTCCTGCCTCGGAGTGAGCCCAGAAAGGGGGCTGCTGCAGCAGGAGGAGGAGGGTGGGAATGCGGGCATAGCTGTCATGGTGGGAGGAGCTTAGGGGGGGCACTGAGGACTCTGGAGCCGTGCTCCTGCTTGATGGGCCAGATCTGGGCTCCCCCCCAGCAGCTGTGGCCCAGGTCTCTCAGCCTGACTTTCTAACACAAGCCCATTTTGTAGAAATGTCGTTTGGCTTATCAAACTGTGGAATCTTCCATGGGTGATGGTAAACAACAAAAAAGACCTTGAGCAACTTGGTTTTCTTCACTACACTTGGAGTGTATTCTTACCCTTCCTGCCTGCGGGCTTCCCGGGCTCTACGGTAGTACCTCGTGAGTGATTTGGTGGCTTGGCTTCTCAGAGAGCCCACGAGCACCACCACCGTGCCCAAGGAGCTCTCAAACCTGAAGGCCCCTACCCCTTCAGCTCTGTCTGCACGCTGGGTCTCGGATTCTAATGCTGCACGAGTCACTCCTGCACGTTTGGGGATTTTAGGAAGCACATTGGACCAGGCGCTGGATCTTGAATTCTGGACCACATGCCTATTAGAGTTTGACAGTTTAAAGCCAGAGGGGCAGACCATGGCAAGGGCAGCCCTGTGAGCCTGTGACAGCCCCTGCCCTGGACCCCTGCCCTGACTGTGGCATTCAACTCCCACTCTTGGAATGAAGGCCATCCTTGAGCCCACTCTGAACAGAGCTCTGTTCACTGCCGGAGCTATTTTCAACCTCTGGTTGAAATTCACAGCTTATTTTTAGACACATTTCATGTTGAAAAGCAAAAGCCATTTCCCAGCCCTTCAGAATGAGAATAATGGGTTCCATTTTCCCTCTATTCTTGGCTGAGTTGCGATGAGGAGGGATTTCAGGGCTGTGGCTGGGGAGCTTTCTCTGCTTGGAAGCCTGCAGAGGAAGGACTCCAGCCCGTGCACTGGGCTGAGGGTGGGCAGGAAACTCCGTGGTCTGCCCCACGACACACTGCGTGGCTGGAGGAAGGTTGCAAGGTTTCAAGCAGATGAGCCGCCTCCCAGAGGGGCTTGTGTGGGGCCCCATGAGCTGTCTGTGGCAGGGGCTTGTGCCGGCGTTTTCAAGGGGCTCCTGTTTAGCTCTGTTCCTGCTACAGCCCTCGTCCTCTCGCCCTCTCTGCACTCATCCTCACCGTTCTCACTCCCTCCTACCGTCTCTGCTTTTTGGTCTGTCCCTGAGGCTATGGACCACTGTCTTGGCTGACCTTGGATTTGGCATGTGCCCCCCAAGTCCCAGCCGCTATAGCTGACTTCTACCTCAACCACAGAAGCATCGTAAAACCATTTTTAATAGCAAAGATGCATCTATTCTGATATAATCTTATTCTTGCCCTCTCTTCAAACATCTGAGAGCCTGTTATGCAATTGAGAAGGAAGGTTGTGCTGGGTGGGGCGGGAGCGGAAGAAGGCCGAATTCTAGGTAATTCAGTAAAACTAAAAAACCACTTCCTGAGTTCTCTGGGCTGGCTGCCCTCCAGTTCAGAGAACCTTGAGGTCTAGGGCTGAGGGCTTTTCTCCACTCACCTCAAATGGGGAGATGCCAGGTCCTCCTTTGGGAGATTTCACGAGGTGGTACGTGCCAAGCAGGCACTTGGAACCGTGCCCGGCATGTGGCAAGTGCTCACCAAGCTTTAGCTATTTTTAAAATGTTCCTTTTCCTTCCTCTGTCCAACAGAGCTAGGCGAGTCCCCTGCCCGGGCAGGGGGCTTAATGTGCTCCAAACCTGCTGCGGTGAGGGACAGCAGGCGGGGGTGGGGGCCCTTCTGACCGGGTCACGTTTGAGGTTGACTCCGCTCAGCAGACTGTCCCTGTGAGGTCCACTGTGGCTTCTGGACTCTTGCGGGCGTCAATTGTGCTTCCTGATGAGTAGCCCAAGTCCTCTCTGCTCGCAGACACAAAAGCAAATCCATGAGGTGGGTGGAAATAGGCCTCTTTTCCCCTCCCTCACCCCCTGCTCCTCAGGGTGTGCTGCCCAGGACCCCCTGAGCCTCAGTGCTAGGACTGTCCCCAGGAAGAGGAGGTCAGGTTAGCCGAGGATATCTGGTCCAAGGCCTCAGCCTTCCCTAAGGATGGCCTGTTTCTTCTTCCTAGTTTCTCTGGTTCTGAAGGGGGAGCCCCAGACACCCCCTGTGCCCCCCTTCAGCTCCCGCATTTCCATTCTGGGGTGCTATACAGAGTGGACTTGACTTAGGGATTCTTGGCCCCTGACCCCTGGCCCAGAGAGGCTTGGCACTGGATCTTGCCCCACTCTGAGGATCTGGGAG